CTAGGCTTCTACCCAAATGTGTTCGTAGTACCAAATCTACAAGTGGCGGGCGTCCAGTTCTGGACCTAGGCAGACTGAATCAGTACGTGCTCCTCGATTAATTCCACATGGAGACGCCATTCAGGGTTCTTCTCTCCATCCACCGTTTCAACTGGCTAGCCCCACTAGACTTAAGCGGGGCCTACCTGCACATACCGATGCACCCAGCGAGTTGCCATCTCCTTTGAATCGCCCAGCCCAGCCAAGTATTCGAATTTTGGGTGCCCCCCATTCGGGTTATGCACAGCGCCCTACGTGTTCACCAGAGTGATGAAACAATTAGTGCTGCTGCTTCACCAAATGTCGGTACACCCCAACCCAAACCTAGACGACTAGTTACTACACAACCTGGACAAGAGGTTAATAGTCAAACACCTCAGGCTAACACAGGATTTACTTCACCAGTTGGGCTCGTTAGTAAATCGACAAGTCCCATCTCGACCCAACACGCAGTTGGTGTCCCTGGGCATGAAGTTTTGACACTGAGGTAAGCTTGGTATATCTATTTCAAGTGTGTTGCTTAGCGCTAAGCAGCCTAGCCAAACGCCTAGTCAGCGTTCCCTCAGTGTCCCTCCGAGAACTAATGCGAATCATCGGAATGATGACCTCGGTTCAAAGGGTTGTTCCCCAGGCCGCACTATGTAGTCGCCCGGTATAATGCTTGTTATAACTCCGAGCTCTCCTATGGGAACTAGATAGGCGGGTTTCTTCTATGACCAAGTGAAGGAAGCCCTGCCCTGGTGGTCGTCACTGGCCAACTTCGGACAGGGGGCCTCCCTTGGACCCACTCGCCGCAGGTATGACTCTGGTAACAGATGCCTCTTCCCAAGGTTGGGGGGCACATCTATTGGACGAACAAGCCCAAGGATATTGACCCCGCATTACTTTCGGGACTACCATATCAACCGACTCAAACTGAAAGCAGTATACTTAGCACTACCACGCTTTCTACCCGTAGTTCGAGACCACAGAGTCCTGCTTTGCACAGGCAACGCAGCGGTGGTCTACTTCAAGAAGGAGGTGGGGGCACGTTCCCCAACGGTGTCAGTCCTATCGGAGCAAATCCTCCTTTGGTGCCTGGAATACAATGTGGAGCCAACCGCACACCACCTTCCAGGGGTGAGGAATAGTCTGGCAGACGCCCTTCAGGGCGGCTCTGTCTCCAGAACATGGAGTAGCTGATACCCAGTGGGTAGCCTCCAGACTGTTTCGGCTGTGGGACGGTCCAAGGTTAGACCGGTCTGACGCACCCCTGAACGCCAAGCTCCTGACATACTTAACACTCCTGTCGACTCCAGGAGCCTGGGCCAGGGTCGCTTTGCTAACCCTGTGGACCCACTTAGTTGTGTACGCCTTTTCTCCCTTCTTGCTAGTTCACCGGGCACTGGAGAAATCTTCGACAGGTGCACACCTCCATATTATCATTGGTCGCATCCAATTGGCCAAGCAAGGCCTAGTTTCCACTTCTGTCGGAAATGCAAGTCGAAACATCAGTAGTGCTTCTGGACTTACCGGACCTGCCATCCCAACCAGACGGCGCACTACCAACGAGCCCAGTGGGTATCACTTTACACGCATAGAGGCTCTCAGTAGACCCGCACATAAGAAAGCTATATCTGAGCTGGCTGCCTGGCCAGGGCGAACAGGGATTCCACCAACGCGGCCTACATTTCTAGGCTGCGAGCATACACTGGTTGGTGTAGCGAAAGGGAGATTGATCCATACCATCCCTCTATTGGCCAGGTAACAAGTTCCTTCGTCCACCTGTTTGACGAAGTGGGTTTGTCCTACGCAGCGATCGTTGGCTACAGGTCGGCCTTGTCCCCCACCATTGACGTACGGGAACAAGACTAGCCGATTGTCCTATTATTGGAGACCATTTACTGCTTTCCAGACGCCGATACCCCATACAAGGGAACCACCCAACTGGGACTTGTTGGCTGTGTTGTCCGCTCTAAGCAGACCGCCCTTTGAGCCTCTCCGATCAGCACCACTCAAATTTTTGACGTGGAAATAGTCTTCCTACCAGCCCTCGCCATTCTTCTCAGATGATGTACTGCCGTTATGGACAATCAAATTGTGCTAAAGACACAAATCGGGTTTCCCGCCTAGAACCAAATCCCACGACACGAACCTCACCCGATCGTCATCCCCGGCTGTCAAATTTTGTCTGTCCGGAGGGTCAGGAGGAATTGCTTCTCTGCCTGGTTTCAGCACGGAGTTGCTATCAAACCGTACTAAGGATTCAGGACGAGGTGCCAGGCACATGTCTTTGTGTTACAGTCCAGGCAGGCAGGGTAGGCCGGCCTGCCCAACTTCGATAACCAGGTGGTTTACTGCGACTGTATTAGAGGTCTCTAATACTTTAACTTCCTCTACACAGAGCTTGCAGAGACACCAAGTAGGAGCGCATGAGGTCTGTGCGATTGCCAACTCATTAGTGCTAGCGTCAGGTGCCCTCGCTCGAGCATACACGGAGGGCAGGCTTCTGAAGAACGCAGAATGTCTTTATCAACTAGCACCTAACACCGAATCCATTGAGGAAGGTCCCTTTAGGTTGGGTCCCGTCGTAGAGGGTCAGTCTTGGTTTGCTGACCCAGCCCGAACGCCCACAAGGGTCCCTGCGCATAGGCAATAAGTCAGTCTCTGCATTTTATGCGGACAGATTCTCTACCATCAGCACTCCCTAGAAGCTCCCAGGGCCCGCTTTTCAGCCTATGCCCTCATGCAGAACTATTTTGGTCTTTACTTCGAAAGCTTACTACCCCCAGAATTGGGTTGGGGTCTAGCTTTCTCAGGCACACCGAACCCTGTCACCGTAGCAGCATTGTGGCTTCTTGCTCCGGGGACAGCACAGGCAAGGTAAGACACCACCCTTTTTGGGTTTTAACTAAGGTGTTCAGTTTATTGTAGTTTGTTTTATCCCGGACTGGGAAGAGACTTTCATCATTTCCTGTTTGCTCGGAAAACCCGCCACCTATCAGCGTCTGACTCAGTTTAAAATAGTCATTTTGACTGACCGGAGTCTATGGTGGGTAATTGAACGTAGTGAATTTAGGCAGAGGGTTCTCCGAACCCGCCTATTCACATAGTTCATACCCACCATAGACTCCGGGT